AGGGGTGGCGGGGGAGGTCGAGGCGGGCTGGTGGCCAGCCCCCCTTGGGCCAGACATAAGGGTGATAGCTGGGCCTGACTCTATCCAGCCACACAGCCCATCACTATGGCCTCTGGGCTGCCTGGAAGTAACAGCTGCCTGTGGGTCTGGCCATGAAGCCCATCACCATGAACTCGGGCTACCCTGGAAAAACAGCCGCTGGTGGCTGGACACCTGTGGGCAGGACAGGCACGGAGCAGCGGGACTACCAGCAGCAGGGCAGAGTGGGATGCAGCAAGCTGCTGCTCCTTCCCCCACCCCCATCAGCATTGAGCACCTCCACCATCGCCCCGCTCCCTGGGGCAGCCCATCCCCAGCGGTGCCAGGACTCCCCCAGGGACTTCCCAGGGCTCGGACCTGTCAGCCTGCACCTCCCTTCACTGTCAGCCTCTACCAAAATAGAAATCACCCTGCGACCCACCGTGATCCCCAGCTGGAAAAGGCCCTAGGCTGGGGAGAAGAGGCTGCCCAGTCCCCTGCGCAAGGCTGTCAGGGGACCACAGCTTTCCTGATGCCGCTCATCAGCATCCCTCTCTAATCGCTACCCACTGTCTAATGACAGTAATTAGGAAGAGCGAAGCTGCCTGGGGACTGGAAGCGCTGACAGAGTTGGGGGAGCCAGATGGTGTTCGCACTTAAGGAAGGAATTAAAAAAAAACAACAAACCCCTTGGCTTCTATCAGCCTCCCTTTCCTTCGCTTAGTGTCAGGATCACTTTGGTCCATGGGCACGCCGGGGAGATGCCGAGACATGGCTCTGGCTGCCTTCTTCACACACACCCCCATCTCCAGGTGTTTTAGGGTGCTGGGGGAGTGGTGCCCGCCCGGGTGCCGGGCACGGGGGGGGGGTTTCCTCGCTGCCTTCACGGGCTGATGCTCTCCCCCGGGGCCACCCCCGCTGCTCCCTGCTTTGCTGGCCGTGCTCAGTGAGCAGTTTCCCAGGGGGATAAGAGGGGGGGACACAGCCAAAAACCTCCCCGAGGGGCTGTG